ACGGGACAAAACTGAATGCTGATGTCCTTCTGAAAGCTCTAGAATACACTCTCAATCTTTGGGCTTTTGCAAAAGTAGCAGAGAAACACTTTGGTGTAAGCTGAACAGAAAAGACTTCTGGTGAAAATGCTTCTCTCTAGAAAGAGCTGCTTAATGGGACTAAGAGGTTTTGATGTGCTCTGACGAGACGGTTGGCATCAGGCATAAGGAATGCTTTCTGAGTTGGCATGTGTGTGCTTGTTGCTCAAGGGGTAGAGCCTTTAAAAAACTCTCGGTGAAGAACAGCCCTAGCAAAGTAATGCTGGCAGCACAGACTCACGCACAGCCCACCACGAGTGTGCACGCGGAGTCAAGGACTAGCTTCGCTTTGTTCTCATTGTGCTTCACTCCTTCCTCACTAGTGCATGGATTGTATGTGCTTTGTGGAAATCAGCTAGACATTCTGCTTGTGGTCCCATTTGGTTTTTAGGAACAGAGTATGAATTTGGCATAATGCGGTGACAGCTGAGACACTCCAGAGGCATTCCTTGGTACTGTCAAATTTGTCCTTCCCGAGTGTTGCGCTGATGATTTCTTAAAGCTGTGACCACTAACTTAAGGTTGATAGCACCTCTGGATGTGAGGTTATTCACTGGCATCCCATGCAGCAGGACTTCTCTCGAAATTACAGCCACTACTGCATTCAGCTGTATATCGAACAACTCTGGCCATAAAGAGAATCTTTGTCAAATTCCTGCAACAGTTCTAAATGATTTTGTTGCTTACTTTCTCACACCCACATGTTCCTACACAACTCACGTAAACATTAAAAAAAAAGGATAAATAATTAAATATCAAGTGCCTTAAACTTACAGAAGCCAGTCAACTGCAATGATCAGGGTAACATCTTCAGCAGGCAGGCCGACAGCGCTCAGTACAATCACCATGGTGACGAGTCCGGCTTGGGGGATGCCTGCAGCCCCAATGCTGGCTGCTGTAGCTGTGACACTAAATCCCAAATAAAGCCCAGAAAAGGCATTCAGAATACATCTTGTTCACAGAAACTCTGTTTTCTGGCACAAACAGGCTTATTTCACTGCAAGAAAGAAGCCCAAATGTTCCAGTTTTCCTCTTGAACAGTATCTACTAGAAGTCTGGTGATAAGTTTATGGGACAAGTCATGTATAGATACTGCCATGGTTACACTGCAGAATAACAGGCAGCAAACAAGCAAACTGGATAGACCCAAGGTACAGGCCGTGTTGGGTTTGAAAGTGTTTGCAGTGGAAGAATAATGGCAATTTCTGGAACGAGGCTATATACCAGCTGCATGTCCTGGTCCATTACCCCTCCTCACCAGGTTGCACAGGCAGGGCCTTGGACCAAGAAGTGAGAATGTTTCTGTTACTTACTGTGCTGTGAATGATAGTTTCAACTTTCCCATGGGGTATCCAAAGTTAATGTACCATTCACTAAAAAAAACCACCTCCATCAAAACGCATGTGATGATTTCAGTCTTACCTAATGGTAACTATCTGGCCAATATCCAGTTCTAAGTCATTCAGTTGTGCAATGAACACAGCTGCTACTGCTTCGTAGAGAGCTGTGCCGTCCATGTTGATGGTAGCTCCAACTGGAAGAACGAACCTGGTAATTCTTTTGTCGATGCAGTTTTTTTCTTCAGCACAGCGGAAGGTGACAGGCAAAGTTGCTGAACTGGCACACAGAGAAACACACAAAGTGACAGCATACCATTTTCCCAATTTTTCCTTTCCCTCAAAGCCTTATCTGCTCTGATACTCAAACAGAGATCTAAGGCAGGCAGGAAGGCTGCACCATGAAAGTGAGAGTTGGCTTTTAAAACAAGTAACTTTTGTTATCTCTTCTAGTTATGGGAAGAAATAACAAAGTCTTAGGTTATTCTAAAAATCACATGGTAAAATCATCATGATGTATGTAGTCACAGAAACAGAGTAACATCTTAAACTCTAGCAAGTCTGTGACTGATGAACTGAAAGGCAAAGAACTGTCTCCTCCTGGGAGGGGCAGACTCTCGTTTGGTGTAATGCCAGCGTAATCTATAGTGCCCCTTTGGCTACTACAGAAATAATGACGAAAGTAATATTTCAACTTCCAGGGGGTTTAGAACTGTCCAGGTGTCCTGGTTTCAGCTGGGACAGAGTTAGCTCTACTTTTTAGCAGCCAGAAGAGCTCCGTGTTTTGGTTTTAGTCCGGGATTCACTATGAGCAGAACGCTGACAGCGCACTGATGTTTGTAGTTGGCACTGAGGCCACAAGGACTGAAGGTGGCTGGTGCGCGGTGCAGCGGTGCGCTGTGGACATGGCGGTTCCTCCTGCCCCTTCGCGACCAGAGAGCCTTTATTCCGGCTGACCCTCACTTCTACACTGGGCATGACGCTGCACGATATGGAATACTAATTGGCCAGTTTGGCCTCAATCCTGAGTCTGAGTTCAGATCATAAGGAGAGTCATGGACCCCCCATCCCAGCCATGCTCCCCCCCATCCTGTTGTGCTCCTGCACACTGGCAAGAACACGGCAGCTGAAAAGTCCTTGAGACCCCAGTGCCAACCACAAACATCAGTGCGCCATCAGCGATCTTCTCAGAGCAAGTCCCAGACTACAACTCAACCACAGAGCTCTTCTGGCTGTTAAAAAGAAGTGCCAACTCTGTCCTAGCTGAAATCAGGACACCAGGTAAAATCAGGGTATGTAACAAAGTACCAATAAAATCAGAGCACAAACAATGCAATTACCACAAAGAATATTACAGAAAATAAATGTTTCTTTTGTTTACCTGGAAGAAATCATGAGGGCTGTCAGAAGTGCCTGAGCCATCCCCATGGCAAATCGAAAAGGATTCTTCCTCACTATTATTAAGTAGATCAGTGGCAGAATTATAATGGAATGGATTGCAAGTCTGCAAAATAAAATGGACTAGTTAAACAAATAGGTCTATCTTATTGCCTGTTTTCGTAAGCCAGTGATAACAGGTATCTAGCTCTGTCCTCAAGTACACTTACTAGATTTATAGAATTATAGAGTGGTTTGAGTTGGAAGGGACTTTAAAGATCATCTAGTTCCAACCCCACTACCATGGGCAGGGGCCCCTTCCACTAGATCAAGTTGCTCAAAGCCTCATCCAACCTGGCCTGGAACACTTCCAGGGATGGGGCAGACACAACTTCTCTGGGCAACCTGTTCCACTGCCTCACCACCCTCTGAGTAAAAAATTTTTTCCTTAGATCTAATCAAAATCCACCTGCTTTCAGTTTAAATCCATTGCCCCTTGTCCTATCACTATACACCTTTGTAAAAAGTCCCTCTCCAGCTTTCCTATAGGCCACCTTCAGGTACTGGAAGAGTGCTATGAGATCTTGCTGGTGTCTTCTCTTCTCCAGCTTGAACAACTCCAACTCTCTCAGCCTGTCTTCATAGAAGAGGTGTTCCAGCCCTCAGATCATCTTCATGACCTTCCTCTGGACTCAATCCAACAGGTCCATGTCCTTCTTCTGTTGGGAGCCCCAGAGCTGAACACGGTATTCCAGGTGGGATCTCATGAGAGCAGAGCGGCAGAATCCCCTCCGTCGACCGGCTGCCCACGCTTCTTTGGATGCAGCCGAGGATACAGTTGGCTTTCTGGGCTGCAAGCACACATTGCCAGCTTATGCTGAGCTTTTCATCACCCAACACTCCCAAGTCCTTTTCCTCAGGGCTGCTCTCAATCCATTCTCCACCCAGCCTGTCCTTGTGCTTGGGATTGCCCCGACCCACGTGCAGGACCTTGCACTTGGCTTTGTTCAACTTTAGTAGGTTCTCACAGGCCCACTTCTCTCCAGCCTGTCAAGGTCCCTCTGGATGGCAACCCTTCCCTCCC